TTACTGATAATATTAGTGAAAGTCAATAAAAGTTGTAATAAAATAAAATCAATATTACAATCGTTTCGCACAAATTCAAAGTAGACATTGAATTGTGTCGAAACATATTGACTTAAATACAGAATTCTGTTACAAATTTAGTGTCAAATTTTATTTTGTATATTAAATTTTAAACGTCAATAATATTGACTCAATAATGATTATGGTATTTCCTAAACTACACAAAAATAAATACAATAATTTATTTAGTTATTCAATAGAAATGTGAAAATAATATCATTTTTGATACATTTATTTCTTTTTAATGACAACAAATTCTGTGAAGTTTCAGTCAATTTATCATTTCTCACATAAAAATCTCATTGTATTTCATGTCATAATAATTATGATTCCCGGAGATTATATGATATACTGTACAATGAATTGTCGATAACTAAAAGAAATTAATTTAAAAGGAAATGGCAATTAGGCTCATATAAAATTAATTAACTCTGAATTCCTTACAAACAGTGCTCTGTGTTTACAAAAAGACTATTTCTATCGATTTATATCAACAGTTGAGTCAATAAAATGATACTTTATTTGCAAACCAACCGAGCATTTAACTAAATGTCAATACATTGTGAAAGGAATAACTATTTGAATGCAAAGAATAGTTAAAAATGTTAATTTAAGACTATATTTCAATATACAAATAATATTTAGGAAGTATTAAATTAATGTAAAAGAACTGAAAACTAAGATTAAATTGTAATCTCGAATAGAGTATGAAATGGTACTTGTTTTCTAAAAAATACACAAATTTACTAACAGAAGTGTAAACTAGTGCTTAATTTGACTTTAATTGGCTGTAAGCTTAATGATGCCCTGTATAATGAGTACTATTTCCCGATCACAATATACAGTATGTAAAGAATTTCATTATTTTATTCCGTGTATTTCTTATTATTCACGTAAACATACACTATACTACATGTATATTCATGCAAATACAGTATATCGACTTTATATTTATAAGCCTTATATGCAAAAATAAGTTTTATTTTAGAATAAAGTCAAATGTGTTTTAAAATATTTCAAAAATATATGAATGTAGAATTTATCTAAATTTTTATGTCATTTGGGATTTGTTTAGATTCAATACATTTGAAAGATGTGTTTGAAAGATAAAACATTTAATTATAAAATGTAAAATTTTTCCAAAAGATTAAGAATTTTTGAATATTATTGAATATAAATTAGACATTAATTAGATATAAAAATCTCATTTACTACTAATGTTATATTGTCGCAAATAATGTATTTTAAAAATAATATTTAACTTCAATTAATAAGTAATGAGTTTTCAATCAATAGTACTGTATCACAAATCACAGTATTCATTCCTAATCCAGGTACTCATTTTCATTTACTATTTTATCAACTAAGTCAATTTAAAAATTTATTTAGAATGTAATACAGTATACCGGTAAAATAAAAACTTCAAAAGCTTAAACCTTTTATACAGAACCTTTAGTCTACATACTATAACTTTAATCATTTCATATAATTACTCAACAAGATTGAATAATTTTTAGATAAAAATAACCCGCAATTAAAGCAAAAATTACTTTTTATTAATAAATAAATTGAATTCAATATAAAAATCTATGAAATGATTGAATATATAAACAAAATATGATTTGACGATTAATACGACACAAACTTGTGGACAGAGTTTAATGATCTTTTTTATGTCTTTTCCAGAATCTGCGGACCTCATCGTGCCCTCCATGGCTCACAACCATCACTCGTCGTTGAGGATTACTCCAAATGAGAACACCCAGATCCTATACACACGCCNCGTTGAGGATTACTCCAAATGAGAACACCCAGATCCTATACACACGCCATACAAATCCATACATTATTAATATATTTAAAGTCTATTTTTAAACTCAAATAAAGTCTTAATTTAAAGTATAATTCTTGGCATACGTTCGCGTATTTCTTGAGTAAATCAAAGTCCGGCTGCGAATTGAATTGACTGTAAAGAACACCGTCTTTATAGATAAGTCGGTCCCTCTCCTGCTCCCAAAGGGATATCTGGTCGACAACAGTGCCGGGAATTATGGGGTTCTGGTTGTGGAGCTGTGGGTGTGAGTGCATCACCAAAAAATTCACTATTTGTTTGGCAGTTATGCCACACTTGAAAGCCTGGCGTACGCTCTCTCGGGTGATCACTCCCAACACAAACTTCGGGAACCGGTACTGCATTTCAGTGAAAATGGCCAGTAATGCGATCTGAATGGTTGAGTCTATTAGGGATTATGAGCACAATTAGGAAAACAATTAATTCTCATAAAAGTGTAATCAAATACCAGTGTAAGCGTAGACCCTATAGTTGGTCTCAACTATTATAAAACCAGATCTTTTGCTGTGAAGCGATGTGTCTTTGAGACCACTCACGAGATTAATGGCAAGTCTTGTCGGATAAAATCTGCCGTCTTTTCGCTGAACACATGATAATAATGGCAATTAAAATACAATTCAAACACAAATTCAATTCATACGCGAATTACTTTTCTTTGATAAACTAAACCAAATTCCCTTAAGTTCTGAAGTAATGCCAGATTTGAATCACTCATCCCTTCCGTCGAGTAATCCTTTTGCGGAGAAGAGAAGAGAATTCATGA